GGAGAGAAGTGCTCTTTATCTACCCAACAATCTTTATAAGTACTCAAAGTTTCAAGTTAACATATTAAATATGTGGATATTTTTGTTATTTTAAATATCAAATGAATTAGATCAACCTAAACATGAGAATTGAATTGACTGTTAATTAAATGGGTGGGTCCTGTAGCTTTCCAAACATGTTGTTTCTTAGTAAGTTTAATTAATATTACAGCAGAGATTCTTCTTCTTCAGAAGTGCTGATGAATTAGGATAAAAAATTTCAGGTTTAGTTTTTCCATATGGCCATGTTGGCTAGGTGGAATTGGTTAAAGTCGCTGCACAATAGAATTAAGCAGGGCTTAACCATCCTCTGCCTACCAGGAGGGATATATTATAGCTACTGAGAGAGACCAGGAGATGGAACCTGACCAAGAGGTATCCCACAGAGGGAGGGAAGGCCAGAAAGTGGTGTGCTTATGTCTTTTTAGTGTTTGAAATTTAAATGAAATAAATATTGATAAATGTTGATTTCCCTAATTATATTTCTAATACTTTGGAACATGTTCTTATGAAAAGATACAAATGAAAGAAAAGAAATGGAAACAAACCAAAAAAAGATAGCATAAACATATAGGTAAGGACCTTGATTAGCTACAAATGTAGATATTCCCTGATAAATTAAGAATTAATTGTAGTTTAAAAGCAGATAACATTGTTAAGGGTATATAAATTAACATGAGTTACCATTTATATTGAATTGCACATTTATAGATTCTTGGAAACCAGGACTGTGTGTATGCATGTTTTCTTAATAGCTGATATTTCAGGCCTATTAGGAATTAAATAAAACTGAAAATGATAAATGAAGAGGATTTTTATTTTACACATTTCTTGAGATTAAAGCCAGATACCTGACACAAGTGGAAAGATACATTGATTTTATATGTGATGTAGACTTTTCAGGATGTGGACTTTGTAGTCTTTTCCTATAAGCTTTCCCTTGGAAGAGAAAAAAAATCTCAAAGAAAGTGTGACTACTTTAGAGTATGGAATATTGAGTAGTTTTGTTCTTATGGGACTTATGGGGAAAAGCTGCTAAGACGCCTCTGCGTGAGCTCATCTGGGCTTACCGCAAAGGGGGACCTTTTGGCAGTGTGTCCTAACCAACTGCTGCTCAGCAAGAATCCCACAGCTGGTTTGAATTAGATTCCTTTTGCCAAATATTGTATAATCAACTGTAGGATAA